TGGCAGAAGGTATATTATTATCTATTCATTTGTTTGCTTCTGTGTTTTTCTTCTTAAGGCTTATATGTCTTTTGAATTGAGAACAAGACTGAGCAGCTTGTACCTCTTCTTCAAGTAATACACTCAATACATGCAATACTTTCATGTTTTCATCCATGTTTTGGTGGGAAATAGCACTTTCTGCTGGGTCACCCACAATCTGGCCCTGATGCCAAGATCCGATGTGAGGACATCTCAAGAAAGGGAACCAGACCGTCTTGGAGTCAGGGCAAGAGGACTCTGCAGATGGGGCTGAGGTAACCCACAAAAATGTAGTCTAATATTCAACTTTTATATTTTATTTCACTAGTTAGTCACTTGTGATGTGGAACATCCATTTCCATAGTCTTGTGTTAATTTGTACTAAATGTTCAAAGGGGACAGTGCCATTTCTGAGATAAGTTTTTATCCCAGACTTACCAGATTCCTTTACATGGACATCTTTCTTTGGCACTTTGGCTAAAACCAGAGGAGATAAGGATTTCAGTTATTCTGTGTTGAACATGCGTAATCCATACCCATATCTAATATCATATTTTGGGGGAATAAAGAAAAACAAATGAATATACTTACCTATGTCTATTGGCTTTTCTTTCTTATGTGGTTCTAGGGAGTATGAAGAAATAAATATTATTTCTGCATTTAAAAAAAATGTATTTATTGACTTGTACACTGCCTCAATCACAGAGTGACCTTAGGTACATTTGTGTACATTTATGTGTCCATAGTAAGCAGTGGGGTAACCCATTCTTTGCACAGAATCAATAACAGAGTGAACTTAATTAGACAACTAATCTTTCGATCCCACAATTAAAATGAAAAAGCGACTGAAGTGGCCATTCTGACTATGAATACCACACCAGTCAGATAGGACACAATTACTGATTCATTTCTTTCTTTCTTTCTTTGCTGTTTTATTTCTTAAGCCTTACATGTGTCTGTAATTCACAATGTCTGGGTCGCTTCCAGTAACAAGATTACAATAGAATAAATTTATATTATAACACTAACAAAAACAATTACCCAATAATCCACAATCATTGGCACTTCTCCTGGCCAACTATTCATCACTCATTCACCTCCAAATGCCCTCCAGAACATCCAGGTCAACAGCTTCCCAGAACTGCAGCAGGGAGAGGGCTGACCTTTTCTGTAGCAGTAGGTTGTTCCAGAAGAGGGGCACCGTAAGGACAATACCCTAGGGGGCTCCACACTCCCTTTGCTCAATCTTCCTACCTGCACCGATTCTACCTGGGGAAAGCTGTCTCTCAGATACCGAGGCTTATTTCATTTCTTAACAGTTATAGACCACCTTTTCCTGAGAAGGTCAAGGTGGCATACATAGCACTCCCTCCTACCATTTTGCATCACATAAAAAACCTGTCCAAGGGGTTGAGCCGAAAAAGTGTAACTGGCTCAAAGTCAACCAGTTACTATCTGTGGCTGAGGGCTGACTTGAGCCTGAAGTGCTGATTCAATACTTTAAGCACCACTGCACTGGTGGCTATTTCCCTATTTATTTCATTAGCTAAGTCATCTGTATTACATGTGGACATTTCTATCATCTTTAATGATAGAATTATAGTAGTTGAAGCCGAAAATATAATTTTCCAGTTATATTTTTGCAGAAGTCTTACCAGATGCCTTTATGTGAATATCCTTTTTTGGAAGGTTGACTAAAATAAAAGGATATATACTGGGTTATTATGAATTTTGAAAAATGATAACACATCAATATGTTTACCAATTTCAATTCATTTTTCTTTCTTGTGTGATTCTACAAAGTAAGAGAAAGACCTAAATATTATTTCTGCATTGGAGTAGTCATAGCAAAGAGTGGGATATTCCATATTTTATACTAATTAAAATCATAGATTGAAGTCGAATAAAGTTGGTGAGTCTTCTAATTCCACAATTAAAGTGAAGCAGAAATTGAAGAGGCAAATCTGACCAGGTAATCCACTGTGAGCAGAATGTAAATTTATCCATGTCTGCTGTTAGATTTCATGGGCTTGTCACTTGCATTATAGCACATGCATTTCCCTACAGTTGTGTTAATATATAGTAATTGTTCAAAATGGAAGATTTTCTAGATTTTTAAATAGCATAAGCAAAAGTTTTGTTTATGTACACATCTTTCTTTGGCACTTTGCCTAAACGAAAGATTCAAGCATTTTGACAATTATGTAGACTGAACACATATACACCCTCTCCTCATTTTAGTGACTGAGTTCCGTTTCAATAACCAGGTCGTTAAGTGAAATAGTCACTAAGTGAGCATGTGACAGAGAGAGAGAGAAAGAGAGAGAGAGAGAAAGAGAGAGAGAGAGAGAGACTGAGAAGACCACTGGTTGCTGCCATCTCATTCAGATAAAGTTCTCTTGTACAGCTATAACAGCATTACATTCACTTTGGCGTGCATTGTTGTCAGGTGCACATTTGGTCTTAAATGTGCACATTGGTCAGAAAATGAATTTTTAATTATCATCATATTTGCAAATGGTTGCTAACCAAGATAGTTGCTAAACAAGGAGTGGGTGAAAGCAATATTCATATTATATTCATATGTTTCAAGGAAGCATGGAAGAGAATATAAGAGCATACTTACCAATTTCTCTAGGCTTTTCTTTCTTGTGTGGTTCTAGAAAGTAAGAGGAAGACCAGAATATTATTTTTACATTCGGTTGTTTATAGCAAACAGTGGGTGATTCCCTACTTTACACAGAATTAAGTGATAAATTAAAGTCCTTTAAAGTTAGAGAATCTTTTAATTTGACAATTAAAATGAAGCAGAAACTGGGCGGACTCTTCTGACTAGGAAACCCAAAGTGGGCAGAATGTAGTCTATCATCCAAGTTTACCAATTTAATTCAGTATTATTCAATGGTTTTATGGCACATTCACTTCCATAGAATGTTTTTATATAGTAATTGTTCAAAGTGAAAGGTGCATTTTTAGACTGATTTTTACATAGCACTTACCAGTTTTGTTTACATACACATCTTTCTTTGGCAGTTTGACTAAAAGAAAAAAATTCAAACATTTTGACTATGACATAGATTGAACACAGAAGATCAATATCCATTTAATGCCCAGATGTTTCAGAGAAGTGCAGAAGACAAAATAAGAGAGTACTTACTTATTTCTTTTGGCTTTTCTTTCTTGTGTGGTTCTAGAAAGTAGGAAAGAGGAAAATCAGAACATGATATCAGCATTCAGGTGTTCACACCAAAGGGAAAGGTTCTTCCCCTGGCACAAAGACAGTGGTTTGTTCCTTCTC